TTTTTTTTTTAAACAAACAGCAGTCATTACATGACGAAGGCACAACCACACAGCATACACGCAAATCTGCCAGCGGCTAGTGCGGCATTTAAGGTGTTACAAAGTATCTGAAGACACTTTGGTAAAAGTTTGAGTCAAATCTGCAGGGTTTAATTATTTAATGTGGGTTTTGTTTTTGATCTTTTAATGTTATAGCCGAATAATAAAGTGCTTTGTAGGCGACATGTTTAAGGTCGGTAGCCGTGCAAAGGGAGCAGGGGCATTATCTAATAATAGTGTTTGTCTAAAGTAAGTCCGTAGTAGCTAGCAGCTAGCTTAGCTAACTCCTGAGTAACTTTGTTTCGGGCCACTCTAAGGGACCGTCGTCAAAGGGGCAGAGGCCGGCAGGGGGAGCGCTGCACAGAGCCGTGCCCTTACTGCGCCACTTTAAGTGAAATGGGAAGCCTTGAAACCTCCATGTTTGTATCTTGAAATTGCAAGCGGAGTTGAGCACCATATTGAATCAAAGTTGCCAACTCCTAGACAAACCTCTTAAAACTTCCACACGTCAAACTTGAGCGCGTATCCGAGCGGACACACGGATCCGAAGAGTAATGGGCGCACTGTAGGTGACTTGTTGCGATGTTTCCCGGGGCGTTTCAGCGTTGTTTTCGCTCACGTTAAGTTGGGTTAATGCAGCACCGAGTCGGCGGACTATCTCTAACTTTAAAGTGTGAAGTTGGCACTCTGGACCAGACCTGGATGTGATGGACAATCCGTCCTCTGTAATCACCCAAGTGAGCCGGGATGAAGAGGGAAATAAAGCCGCGGGAGAGAGGGGTAAGTTGCTTATTTATTTATATTATATATATATATATATTAATTTTTTTTAAATACCCCTGTGCAGTCATGTCAGGGGAAAAAAGGAAAAGAAAAGTTTTGCAACTCCTGAACTCCGAGCCTAAGCAGTAAGCTGCTTATGAGCAGCAGCACAGATAAAGCCAGTGTTAGGAAAGTGGACAGAAAACAAGTCAGAGCAAGAAGACCGCGCTGTTGTGTGTACATTATGGCTGCGGCCCTTTGGCCTCTGATGAAAAGTAAAGGAAATGACGTACAGCTGGTTGAGACATCTGTAATAGTAGTCAGATTCAAAGCCTTTCCATGTCCACCTTAAATCCCGGTTTCCTTGGAGTGATATCGTGTCAGATAAATAACTTTTCCTTTTTTTGTTTTGGCAACACCACAAGTGGCCG